TTTTTTGTTTTTCACTATCATACACAACTTCAACTTGACCCCAGCTTTTTTTTTTATTGTTGACAATTTGCCGACCACTTTGTTCTTTGAGTAAGTTTATGACTGAATTATATGTACTCACCTAGTTCAATCGTAGGACTTTGGTCTACAAAGGAACAATGCAAAACAGTTATCATGAGTTATCGTATTTTAAATCATGATCCACAGTACGATGAAACCTGTGTTAAGTGGCACTGCAATGGCGGTCACCCTTTGTAATGTAATGTAATGTAATGTAATGTAATGTAAAACTTTATTTATACACGGAGAATCATCAGTTAAGCTAAAGGTAGAAACTAAAACTATTACAACTGTGGGAATCCGATATCTCAGATACCTTCTAAATACTCCGTTTATTTCTTAAAACCCCGTTTATTTCCTAATAACCCGTTTAAACTTCCCGATAGAACCAACGCATTTCAAATCTTGGGGCAAGTTATTCCACAAACAAGCCCCGCTATAACAAAAGCTTCGTTTCAAGTAATTAGTATTTCTTAAACAGTTGGCCGTCGAAGTCTCGAAAATTTTCACCTTTATTCAGCGGTCAATTCTATTAAGCGGTCGTAGTAGTTACCCTTTACTAGCAAAGTCCCAACGGCCTGTTTACATTGTCCTCGACTGTAATGAACGGTCACTTAAATAGGATCCACAAAAGTAAAACTGAGAATAGTCTTTCGAAAAAAGTTTAAGCCATTTTTAATTCTCGAAATCAATTTCAGAAGTATTTTTGGGCGAGTGTCTGTACATTACGTGTTCAATTATGGCATGATATGGCGGTTTTTATGTTACCCCTCTTCTGTGAAACTTTTATTAAGCAGGTGGTCGCTAAATACAGGTTTCACAATATTTAGGGATGGAGGGGTAAAAAGATAGAGTGGAAGGATTCCAAAAGGGAGTTGGCTAACTAGGAAAACTTTTTAGGGAGGTGGGTTTGACAGTAAGTAGGTTGGAAGCTGAGTAGGTAGGTAGGTAGGTAGGCAAATTGCTTGTCAGGTAAGTACGTACAGTGTATGTCAATAGGTAGGAAGAGAAGTACGTGAGTAGGCAGATGGTAGATGAGTGGGCAAGTGAGAAAATAGGTAAGTAGGAAGCAAAATAGGTGTTGGTTAGTGGTTAGGTTGTAAGGGTGGTCGGAAAGTGGGTCTAAAGCAAGGCTAATAGGTAAAAATGAAGGCGACTAACAAGGGAGGCGGACAGCAACTCAGTTTTAGAGGAATGAAGGTAGGCGGCTAAATGAAAAGGAAGAAGGATCAGATTGTAGGAGTACCAGTGAATCAGTGGATGCGCCGATGGGTATTTGAGCGATATGCTCACGGCGGTCAAGTCAAGTTTCCAGCAATCACAGCTGTGTAATCATTCGGACACCACAGACTGCAAGTTCTTTGATATTGGACTTGTAAACTGATGCATCTATCGTTACTTATCATAAGAAAGTCTTACTTTGCACCCAAACGTGCACAGGATATGCCAGATCATCCTCGTTTGGATAACTGGTTATTTTCGATATGTCCTTGCAGACGTAGCAGGCGTAGTTGTACGCTTCCCAGAATTCAATGGCGCTGCATCCGACTCGTTCTTGGCAGAGCTTCTGACATACAGTGTAGTCAATTGGGTTGTCAAGGTCTCTTGATATCAACTCCCTTCCATCAACAGTGCACCAACTGTATGGGTGCTTCGTCCATCCTAAAATATAGATTTTACCAAGGTGAAGTGAATGATTTATAACGATTAATCAATAATTAATAACAAAAAAACCGTGATTCGTTAGTGTCGAACAGGTGTTAACTTTGTCTTGTGAGACACTAAAAAATGACGTTTTTTGCGACACGTGAATTGCATTATTGGTCTCTTACGATTACTATTGGGAATTACCCTCGGAAAGCCTAGAAACGAACCGTAATTTTCCACGAACAAGCGTGGGCACAACCACATGAGCTACGCAAGCCATCGCGTACGACCCTCATACGGAGATTTTTGTCCAATGTTTATCATCAAGAGTGTGTCCGGGGCCGTGTGGGCACATACCTTTCGATGTAAATTTATTAAGGAACTGTGACATATCCATACCATAATATGCTTGATCCTCTTCTGGTTCATCTGCTTCCTCTTTTACTCCATCAGTGACTACTACAGTTGGATCTTTAACAGAATCAAACTCAACATCTTTTCGATCATACTCTTCTCCATTGATTACATACTTTTCCACCGCCGCCTGGTCATCCAGTTTACTCTTCTCGTTGTGTTCCAGAAAGCTTGCCCAGTCTCCTGTGGGCTGAGCATGACCATTGACTTCTATCGTGGGATCTTCAAGGAAAGTCTCTGAAAGGCCTCTAAGGTCTCTCTCTTTATCTGGGAATTGAAAGTGAGTCGAAAATCTGATGACTTGTTATCGACCACAACCCTGTCTATTCTGCTAGATAAATAAGATCTAAACCAAGCTGTGGCCGGGGTACCCTTGGAAAAATCGAGAGTAAATAACATCTACCTGTTACCTCATTTCAAGAGGTCTAGCAAGTTGATAAACTACTTGGGTTAACTATAAACTTGAGAACCATTCTTGGATAGGCCGCTGGAAATGGATTAATAGAAAGCATTCGTCTGCAACTTGTTCAGTTTGCACCTTTAAAGGGATATGTAACACACTCATCTAGAAAAGAAATTTCGAATATTTCTATGTTCTTTGACTTTCAAAACGTCGCCGAAAACAAACCTTGCAGCTGGAAATTGTGCAAAAAAAAAAAAATCTTGGCCTTTTTGATTAACCTCAAGCATCATTAAAGGTTGTAATCATTAGGTAAGCAAGATCGGGAATGGAACACCTCATGCGTCCAGTTATGTAGATTTTGTACAACATTTCCAGCACCTAGCGTTACCGGAGGAATAAACTGTGTTCAATATCTTGATTATACTTATTAAAACTTCTAATGCCGATATCGCAGCATCAAACACAAATATTAACTGTATGGAAAGGAAATACTGCGTGCAACAGTGCCATGTTGGGTGCTTGAGGCTGATAATCTCTAAAAGGTAGTATGAGATCGAATCCGGTGTGTGAGAGTTTTACCTTGGGCAGAAATGTCTTCGTCAGAGACATCCAGTGATGCCGCACAAAGCACAAGAAAGCAAAGAAGCAAAGAATTACTCATAACTAGTCCTCATCCGTAGATGCAGCTTCGACAAACTGTGCATCTATAACTATCGGGGATAGGAATGAGATAATTGATAATCACTTATTCAGTCAAAGCGGAAAAAGTTATTTTCTTTTGTTGACAGAAGTTCCGGTTTGCGCCATTATGAAAGTGCTATCGATGAGTACTCGAAGTTAGAGTTCAGAGGTAATGGGATATATTTTTATTGAAGCTTACTAAAATCGTCGAGAACCACTTGCTTTTTGAACAAGGTAAACAGTATTGGCCCTGATTCTAACTATCGAGCCCTGGTGGTTTAAAGATTTTAATAAATATTCTCATTTCTTTAATGGATTATCGTTACTGACGCGAAAAAAGTAAATTAGCGTTTGCTCTTTTCAATGTTTTTTTGTGGCACCAAATTGAGTTATGAAGAAAGACAGCTCTTGTTTGTCTAAAAATTCCTAGCTTGCCTTCCGATACTTTGGAACGTATTTTTTCTAGGATGGGTGAGTGGCTTTCGACATTCGTTATCAGTAAGTCACTATATTTAAAGCCTGGTTCACATATAATCGCAGACGATCGCAAGCGATCGCACGATCGCTGAAACCACTCAACTGATGATCGCGAATCGCATGTTCACATGCGATCGTAGCCGATCGCAGCGATCTGTGACAACCGAGTCCATGGTTTACCATTTAGCGGCAATACGATGTAACAGTCAACCAACATAATCGTAAAAGGACGCTGAACTTTTAATAGGTGTTAACATTCTGCTGGGCTCTTAACATTCGTCAACTGTTTCGTCATCATCTGGGCTCTTAATATAGACCGTAAATTGATCAATGTTGTTGTCTTCTTAGATTTAAAGAAGGCATTTGATACAGTCGATCATGAGATTCTTTTATCTAAGCTTCGTTCGTACGGAATTCGTGGACTAGCTTTGCGTTTGTTTCGCTCCTAATTAGTTGACCGAACACAGATCTGCCAAATCGATTGTTCTAAATCGACGCCAAAGTTCCTTAATTGCGGTGTGCCTCAAGGCACGATTCTGGGCCTGCTTTTATTCTTACTGCATATTAACGATTTACCTCAGTGCCTTAATTTTTCTCATCCTCCAATGTATGCTGACGATACCGCGGCATTACTTATGCTGGCAAACATTTAAACGAAATTGATGATCATTTTAACAAAGATTTGAAATCTGTTAATACCTGGTTGTCTTCTAATAAACTCACATAGAACCTGACTAAGACTAAATTTTTAATAATAACTTCAAGGCAAAGGCGAGTTTAACTGTCAGAAAATCCGTCTCTTACCATTAATA